ATGCAGTGTTCCCTTGCTCTGTTGTGACGACTGCCTCCTGGTCCAAGTATGAGTTTCGCATTAGAACGATCAAGTGTTCTGGGATTCCCATTCTTCTGAGAGTCAGCCACAGTTTGTTATGATCTACACAGTCAAATGCCTTTGCATAGTCAATGAAACACAGATAGACATTCGTCTGGTATTCCCTGCTTTTAGCCAAGATCCATCTAACATCAGCTATAATATCTCTAGTACCACGACCCCTTCTGAAACCAGCCTGGACTTCTGATAGTTCTCTGTTGATGTGCTTTTCCAGTCGTTTTTGGATAATCTTCAGTAAAATCTTGCTTGCATATGAAATCAGTGAGATTGTTCTGTAGTTTCCACATTCTGTTCGGTCACCTTTCTTTGGGATACTACTAAGGGAAATACTATTAACTAAGGGAGCTCTTGTAGTCTAGTGTTACAGAGTAGTGTTGTCAATCCAAAGACCCATGGTACAAATTCACCAGTAATCTCCAGTGAAATCTACTACCTCTGAAAACTTCAGTTGAGGGCCAGCTATAAGTCATTTCCACCTCTATGGCACATAACAACAACTATTAATAAAATAATAACCTAAAATAAATATAAAGCAAGAAAATTAACACTATGCATTAAACATTGTATTTATAACTGCATTTGTGTAAAAACAATATTAAAATACAGACTTCAAAATATTTATGAAAAGGAAAAATAGAATTCTTAAGTAGAAAATTAAAGAAGTATACACACAAGGCTATCCATTTTTATTTCCTCACAGAATAAAAAAGAAAGAAAACTTATCTTCTTAAAAGTATATACTAAAGACACAAATGAAAAGAACTACTTACTGTTTTTCAAGATGAAGAGTGTATGCTTTCCCATTAATTTCGATAACATAAATGATCTATAACAAGGTATTCAGAGAGAAGATATTTACTCATAGTTCCAAATACATAGTGAGGGAAGGGAAAAAATCAATATTTTAGAGCAAATTTTTTTCAATACTTATGTAACTTTTGCTATAACAAAATTATATTTACAGATATATCAATCTTCTTTTCAATCTTAAGGTCTTTTTCCAAAGAGTGGCCCTTCATAACAAAATGACTAAAATAAATGAGATGAGGTCGTATCATCTTAACCTCTAAGGAGTACCTTGGCTTCACTTTCTCCAAGACACATTATGTTTGTTCATTTGGTGATCCATGTGATATTCAGTAATCTTCTCCAACACCAAAGGCATCAATCATTCTTTTGTCATCCCTATTATTGTCCAACTTTCAGATGCATAGCAAATAATTGAAGAAACCACGACTTGAATCAGAGGCACATTAGTCTTTAAACTGAAATTGTTGTTCCTTAACACCTTGATGATGTCCTGACAGTAGATTTTCCCAGTGTAACAGATCTTTTTATTTCTTGATTGCTGGTACAAAGGTTGTTGATTGTGGAGCCAAGCAAGAAGAAATAATTGACAAACATGGATAGTCTTTTCTCCATCCATCACGTTGTTGTCTGTTCGCACAGTGATGGGAGGATTTTTGTCTTTTGCTACTGAGATACAATGCCTATTGAAAGCTGTAGTCTTTTATCTTCTGCAGCAAGTGCTTCAAGTCTCCTCACTTTTAGCAAGCAATACAGTGTGATCTGCATAACACACATTGTTAATAAGTCTTCTTCCTCTGATCCTGATGCCACATTCTTCCTCATAAAATCTATCCTTGTCAATGATTTTTCTCAGCATACAGATTGGATAGGTATGGAGATAGAATATAGCCCTGATGCATATCTTCCTGTATTTGAAACCATGCTCTGAACAGCTTCTTGGTCTATGCATAAGTTTCATATGAACACAACTAAGTGTTCTAGTATTCCTGTTCTTCTCAATGTTAGCCGTATTTGTTATGATTCATAGTCAAATAATTGTCTTTGATGGTCAAAAAAAATACATGTATACATCCTTCTGGTATTCTCTGCATTCAGTCAAGATCCAGTTAACATCAATGATGATATACCTGCTGTCACAGCCTCTTTTAAATCCAGCTTTAATTTCTGGCAATTCTCTATCAATGTACTAATCCTAGAGTATTTTTATTATCTTCAGAAAGATTTTGTTTGCCTCTATGATTTGTCAAACCTATTCTTAAGATTTTTTTTTAAAATTTTTGTGGCATAGACTCAAGATTGTATTTTGGTTCTTATGAACTTGTTTTAATTTTCTTCAGCTTCAGTTTAAACCTGTACATAAATAATCAACCGTCTGTTCCACAGTCAGCTTCTGGCCTGATTTTGACTGCTGATATTAAGCTGCCTCAACTATTTCTCCCCCCACGCCCGATGTAGTCATTCCGATTCCTCTGCTGTCCATTAGGTTAGGTAAAAACTGCTAATCTTGAAAAATAGATTGAAGTTTTCAATGAGTTAATTTTACTAGAATCCATGATCAACACCCATAGTGGCAGCAGTTAAGAAATCCAAAGGGGTGTTGCATGGGGAAAATCTTCTGTCAAAAACTTCTATAAAGAAAAGAGCTAAAGAGTAGAGAACATAGGGTTAAAGACTAAGATGCACCTAACCCAAGCCATGGTATTTTTAATGCTCCCTAGGCATATGAAAGTCAAATAATGAATAAGGAAGACCAAAGAACATCAACAACAACATTAAATTGGTATTAGAAAAGAGTTTAATAACCATAAGGACTGCCAACAAAACTAAAAAATCTTTCTTAGAAGAAGTGGAACCAGGGTGTACCTTAGAGTCAAGAACAATGAAACATGATATACTTGGGGCATGTTATCAGGAGGGGCCAGTCTTTGAAAAAATACATCATGCTAGGAAAGGTAAGGTCAGCAAAAAAAGAGTACAACCCTTCTGGTGATGGACTAAGATAGCTATTATAACAAGGAGATTAAGGATGGGAGGGATTGTTGCACAGGATCTGTTGTTCATGGGTTGGCTCTAAGTCATGGTTGACTTTTGTTGTTGTTGAGTACTGCTGAGTACCGTAGAGTCAGAACCAACCCAAAGCTGACCCTCCGGTGGGTTTTCAAAGGCAGTTAATCACACGAGAGGAGAATGCCCATCCTTTTCCCAACGAGCAGCTGGTAGATTCAAACCACATGCCTTTGAAACTACAGCGCAGCCTCTTACCACTCGGCCACCAGAGCTCCCATGGTTGACTAGATAGTACATTAACAGTGACAACAATAAATATTGAGGCAGCTTTAAATCAGAATTATGCTATTTATAAAATTTTTAAAAATAAAGATATTTTTATCTTTGTCAACTAACTGTAAAAAATGTGGCTATAAAACAAAACCAAGTTTCAAGGAAGAAAATAATAGAAGAAGAAGGACAACTTTATTCTCTTGGTGACATAAATATAGGCCCTAACGGGTTTCTTATATTTCCAAAATTCATTGGTAAGGTTTCTAAAATATTACCATTCTCAAAGTCATCATAAAACAAATTTAAAGAACTAAATGATGCAAAGGTACTGATAAAATGTGTAAATATTTTTTTCTTAAAGTTGTTTAGTTGTGGCCCAACTGTCAGACTTAAAACCGAGATAAAATTATAGAAATTAGCTACCACCTAGTAGTCTGTTACAGCATCTTTGTTGTGTGTTGTGTAATTGATTCTGACTCAAGGATTCAATTCAGTTTCTCCCATCTTAAAAGATTTTCCTATGTGCTACTGATCTTTAGATAGCAATTGTTCCTTGCCAAATAGCTATCACAGGATTCAGTAAAACAGAATATTTTCTAATGATCATTACCTGAGAATTGCAAAACCTACATAAAATTATAACACACAGCAGGATAGCTTTAGATATATGCTAACCTCTCAATGTGGTGCCTGTAATTTGGTTAGCAATCATTGCTGTAAGCCTAACATTCTTTGGGCATATTATCAGATAAACTAATTCAAACGTTACCAAAAAAGAGATTTAGTAATTACACGTGTTTGTGAAGTATCACCGTCTTTAGTATCTGTCCAAATCTTCTGTGGTATTGTAATTTGCAGAAATGGTGTTTCAGAATCTACAATAAAGAAGAGATAGGAACATTTCCCAGAATTCTTATTCTTGCCTTTTTTTTTCTGAATACCTTATTTTCTCATCACCCTTTTATCTAATTAAAAGACAGACACACACACACACACACACACACACACACACACACACACACACACCCAATATAGTTAATTCAGGAAGCTACTTCTCTAGAAGACGAAGTATGGACATAGATAGGTCTCTGGACCTCACCCACACTCACTCCTCCCCCACTTGCTCAGGAACTGGTTGCCTACTCAAGATAGTTATTTGTTCCAGTCTCACAACAAACCTCCCTACATCTTTCCTCCGCCCAGTACTGAAACAGGGCAACGGGTCTTTCCTCAATCTCTCCATGAAAGATCTCAGATTCTTTCCAACCCAGAGCAAGAAAAGGATGCCCGCCCACACCCTGGGCCCCGAGTAAGGCAGCTCTTCCAAGAAGTAGGGCACATCACCTACTCTGGTCTGCAGAGGTCAGCCGGCCAAGGCCCAAGAGGAGCAGCAAGAGAGGCAGCATTGCGTGGCCAGCTGACCTGCTTCTACTCAGAGACCCTGACAGTTGGGGATTGAACGGTGGCAGCTCGCG